AGTATATGGGGACTATGTATTCCCAAAGAGTAAATGTTTTCACATTTAAACAACAAACAAAACTTTGATTTCCAAAAATTAAGCAAGAGAGGAAACTTTGATTTCCAAGAGGAGCCTTTGAGCTATGTTTAGAGAAATTATCTCAAATCATAGAGTTATGTTTTTAAACATATGGAGCTAGTATATTTTGGGAGTAGTATTAAGCACCGATATGGGGGAGAGTTCAGAGAACTCTCAGCCCCCATAAACCATGTAGCCACCATGGGTAGAAAAGGGTCATACTTTTTAGATGATTCCTTAGTGGATTTTTAGCATAGCTTAGTGGATCCACTTAGTATTCAGGTTCTATACCCTCGGCAAGGTATAAGACGGCCCTGGCAGCGTGAGGCAAAACGTTGTATCATCACAATAGCTATTAAATGATGGTTGTCGGTTAGAGAAAATCCCACAGAAGTATTTTTTATTCTTATATACATAGAAGTAAATTGTATTTTTATATACATTTCAGAGTTGACATTGTATCTTTGGACACACATAGAGTCATTATTATATTTCTAAATACACATAGTTGTTATCCTTTTTTCAAAAAGATTTTCTTTATATTGCACTTGTTTATACTGCTTTATAATGAAATGAGTTCATTTTAGTTCAGTTTAGTTGAGACAACATTTGTTCTTTCAGTTCCTTTCAAGTTTATGTCTTATTTAGTATTCCCCTCGCATGCTCGTACATTCAATGTACTGATGCCATTTGGTCTGAATCTTTTAATGATGAATATACAGGTATCCATGATCAACACCCAGCGCATTGTTGATTCTAGTTGAGCTTCAGAGTTTGTTGGTGAGACTTTTTTGCTTCTGGAAGATCCCCTTTATATTGCTTTAAATATGTTTAGTTCTTTAGGATGTCGTGGGTCTTGTCCCGATGTCCATCTCAGTTGTTTAGAGGCTTTATAGACATTCAAATGTTAGTTCTTAAGTCTTTCTGTTTCCTATTTTGATGGTTGAGACTTAAGTTGTCACTTTGGCCAGTGAATGTTATTTTAATACATTCTAAGTTTTTATTGAGCAGTTCAGTTTACTTTTTAAAGTATTTATATCATGAGTAAGTCTTCCGCTGAGTAACTAAGCTAGGCCAAGGGTTCGCTTGGAGCCAACAATGGTTCTCGAGTGCCAGTCCCGCTCAGGGTATAGGCTCGGGGCATGACAACCTATATTATGACGAAATCTTAGAGATACACCTTAACTAAACTAAGGTCATCTTACCCCCTGAATCCTTTTTTCTGTAATTTTTTACACCTTTTTGGCTTACGTGACATTCAAATATCTCCCACACGCCTCAACTGTGTGGAGTCACGGGGTATGCCACGTAAGCCAAAAGGTGTACAAAATTACAAAAAAAATGAGTTTAGGGGGTAATAGGACCTTAGTTTAGTTAAAGATCTATCTCTGGAATTTTTATCATAGTCTTGGGGGGTACTTGTGCCTTATCCCTATATAAATAAAAGGAATAATACATAAGTATGCCATTTAACTTGCCTTTAGTTTGCATCTATACCCTCCAACTTTGGTGTGCACAAGTAGACACTTTTAAATTTTTAAGAAGTTGTAGACACATGTGTCGTACGTAGCATAATACATGTAGGGTACCACGTTGGATGTGAATTTCCACGTATAACGCCAAGTAGAACATGTGTATCTTGTTATTCAGTTCTATACAAGTTTAAGTACCTACTTGTGCACACCCAAAGTTGGAAGGTTTTGGTTCCAGATAAAGTCATGTTAAAGAGAACATTAATGTATTATGCCTAAACAAAATGATGATTCCTTAGGCAACATTTTGAACTTTATTTCTTATAAGAAAGATAAAAAAAATGTCACCTTTGAGTTGTATGATTCTTAAAATTTAGAAGAAATTAAGTTCTTCTAAAAGATTTTTCCTTTCAATAGACCCTTTAACTTGACCTCATTTCATATGTATGTCCTTCAAATTTGGGTGTGTACAAGTAGACACTTAAACTTGTATAAAGTTAAACAAATAGACACATGCGTCTTATGTGGCATCCTACATGGCGATTTGTGTCTTATGTGGTGTCATAGGTATATTTTGCCACCAGGGACTCATGCACACCCAAAGTTAGGGGGCATAAATGTGATATGAGGCAACTCTGGAGAAATTTGAAATAGGTACACTGTTTTCAAGAGGTCTTCACAATTATTTTTTTTGTTTTTCTTGTTTGAGTGGCCTTTTCATTTAATTTTCTTTGAGATTTTATATTTAGATTTTAAATAATTGAAGGATATTAAAACTAGTCTGTTTTAAAAAATGCAAATCTTTTATATCTTTTGACAACTTTTTAATTTCTACAATATTTTTTACCTAGTGTCAGTCAGATATATAAAAAGGACAATATTTTTGTCAATGAATTGAAGGTGTGGGTGTTTAGGCGTAGGATCATTGTATACTTGTGTGTTGTATGTGCTTCCTATTATTGATGAATTGATTGGTTATCCATTTTGTTGTTGTAGGCTAGGGAAAGGCCTAGGCCCCGATCTCCCTCGATCCCTATTTTGAAATTATAATTTTATCGTTTGAATCATGGACTCTCTTGATCATCGTTGAATTAAAAAATATTCATTACTATAAATAGTTGAATTGGTCAAGACATGACTAGAATTACATCATGTTAACATTATGACATTGTATCTAATAATAAAAGAGTTGGCACAAGGAAAATGTTTAAATAAGAACCATTGGTGAAATAGCACACATGAAAAATAGTTATTTGAGCAAATGGTGGAATCAATTGCCACCACCACCATTGCCCCATACTCCTCCGGCACCAAACCACTACCACTATTTTGACCACCACCACCGCCGTTTTCTCCCCATCTATGACCGTCACCATATCCAATGCCAAAACCAGATCCTCCATCACTACCTCCTCCTTCACCACCACCTCTACCGCTGCCTCCACCACTATTTTCACCGAAGTCGTGACCTCGCCATATCCTATGCCAAAACTAGATCCACCATCACTACCTCCTCCTCCTCCTCCACCATCACCACCACAACCACCAATTAGGCCCTCTACAATTTGGAAAAATCCATCATTTTCACCCGATCCATGACCCTCGCCAAATACAAATCCATCACCAAATCCCCCATCACTACCTCCACCACCGCCGCCACCACCACCACAGCCTCCACCAAGACCACCTATAATTTGGTTGAATTAACCATTGAAGTTAGGTAATTGGGTAATAATGGATATATTGTAGGGAAGCTTCCTTGCTGAGGAAGTTTGCACTAGAACTCCCTAAACAACAATTAGCATCGCCTCACATCTAATCTTTGTAGTATCTACTGTTAGCACTGCACACAAAAATAGCATAACTTCGATTAGTGGCACAACTATTTTATCTTATTTACCCAATATTATATCGCAACTAAAGAGATTCAATTAAACCCCTTCCAATAGTTAGCTCCACTTTTAACAACCACAACAAGAAATGAAATTTTAACTGACGACTTTTTTTAGCGTCTCAGGTAGCCACCAAAAAAAAGTAAGAGTTTTTGCGAAGAATGCGCCACAAAAAATATTGAAGTGAGCACTAGTCATTGTTATGACTTCCGTTGTTAGCTTAAAATATATATGCATGGTTTAAAATTATGTAATACTATGTAACTCGTATGAAGTTCTCTAAAACTATATTATTTTTAAAGTATCTATCTGACATGCACTTATTATTATTTTTTGAAAAGATCAAGCAACCATAAATTTGAAGTAGAATGTATCTTACTTTGCTTTCATGGCCTTTGTTTTGTGAGGCTAAATGCTCACCATGAAAATGCTAAAATATTACTTAGAATGTTGTATTAATTAATATTTGAGATACTATGAAAAATAATAATAGATAGGTAATGGCATGGTTAGTGGCTATTAACTAGAAGTACTATTAATCAATCTATAAATATTTGCAAAACGTAAAAACCAAAAAGAAAATTGAAGTGAATGTATACGTAGTTGAACATAAATAAAGAAAAGGGAGTTAATAAATTATGTCTTGCATTTTTATTATTTATTGGAAGTATAAAAAAATAATACTTTCTCCGCTTCAAAATATTTATCGAATTTGCTATTTACACGTCCCTTAATAAACATTAATTAGGAGGGTATTTGTCACTGAGATTTTGATCATAGTTGTCACGCCTTGACCCTACACACTGGACGTGACCGACACTCGAAAGGGAAATGAAAGAAACACTCCTTAAATACTATTGTCTATTTATTAAGCCTCTAAATCTATGAGGGATGTCGGGACAAGACCCCTGATCATCCTAACAAAACTGAAATAATGGAAATAAATAAGGGATCCTCCGGAAGCAAGGAGGCTCGCCAAAGCAAACTCAAACTGCTATGGTATCAACGAAGAGCCTGTTGATGACCTTGATCTCCCGTATCTGCATCATGAACGATGCAGGCCAAATGACATTAGTACATTGAATGTACGAGCATGTAAGGGGAAACATTGAACATAACATGAAAGCTTGAACTTGGAAAGAAGGAGTCATACTCACTTCAACTCTACTCAACTCAACTCAACCTCAACTCATGGTTACTCAACTCAATGCAGTATAAAAACAACAATAAAGATGCAGTTTATATAAATCATTTAAAACAATAAATAACAACTCAATGTATTTTAAAATACAATAATAACTCAGTTTGTATGTAAAGATACCAAATAACTCAATTTGGGAGATTCTCTAACCGACAACCATCACTATGAGCTATGTGATGATATAACATTTTGCCCACGTTGCCAAAACTGCCTTATACCTTGCCGGGGTATAAGGCATCCTCAACTAAGTGGATCCACTAAGTTGTTCTTAAAAGTATGACCCTTTCTACCCACGTTGGCTACATGGTTTATGAGAACTCTGAGTTGTATGAACTCGTCCCTATATCGGTGCACAATACTGCTTTCAAAAATATACTCAGCTCATATGTTTAAAAACATTTTCTCATCCTAAAGCTTTGAGATTATTACTCACAAGGTTCTCTTAAAATAGATTATACTCAAAAACTCCTTATGAGCTCATTTGGAAATCTATGTTTCCTCTCATTTTAAATGTAAAAATATTTACTCTTGGGAATACTTAGGTCCCATTTATTCATTTTGAAAAATGAAATTCAACTCTCCTCATACTCAAACTCAAGTACTCAAGTCTTAAAACAGTTTTAAAAGGTTAGTAAAAGACTTCTCAAAATGACTCGAAAGAACTCTCAAAAACTTTACTCTTAACTCTTCCTTGAATTTGAAATTATGAATTCAAGGGTTATGATTCATGTTATGAAGGATCTCTCAATGATTAGATCTATTTTAGAGTAGTTATAATCAGAAAGGAGTAAAGGTACACCTTAAAGGAACTCAGACGGGTCAAACGACAGAAACACGACGGGGGCAGACAACCCTGGTGCACTGAGTGGCACATGGCACCAGCCCCTAAACTTCAGAGGCGAAGTTCTGGCACACGACCATAAATTTTAACACATGATGAGTTAGGAGACCTATAAGATATCAAAAGAAAGATCTCTGAGTTCTCTTTCCAACATCACCGAGTTTGCTAATTTTCGATCTAGTAGGAGGAAGATATGTCCATTTGAAGTCGGGCTAACCAATTAAGGAAAGTTAACCAAAAATATGAGGGTTATTTTGGTCTTTTCCTTATCCAATCAGCTTAAAACAAATTTTAGTAATATTCTGTGGACAAAGCTGATTTGGATCACTTTTCCTAAATCCAAATATGCTTAGGGTTTTAGAAGAGAGTTCATCAAGTCATTCCTAAGTTCTTTTAAGTTTTGTGTCAACTTCAAATGATCATAACTTTTAGCACATAATGATTTAGGAGATTTATAAGATATCAAATGAAATATCTCTGAGTCTTTTTTCCAACGTCATCGATTTTGCTAATTTTCGAGCTCGTATGAAGGAGATATGCCCTTTTTAAGTCAGGGTGTCCATTTAAGGAAAGTTACCCGAAAATAGGAGGGGTATTTTAGTCTTTTCCTTACCCTCACTTAATTTAAGCGTGAATTACACCCAATTAAGGGTCTAAACTTGTTAGAATCAGTTTCATTCATCCCCAAAAGCATTTAGGGTTATAGAGAGAAGATTCAAGAGGAGAAAAAGTTCAAAGTTTCAAGCGTTCGTTTAAGAAATTCAAGATTTCACCAAGAACCTAGTTCTTTCAGGTATGTAAGCTTCCATAGTGTTGGGTTTGTTCACCCACACTCCAATCATGACTTTCTTTTGCCAATCTATCCATAATTATTGAGAAATTTAAGTTCTTGATGAGTTCTTTTGCGAATCTATCCGTAAATTCCGCATGAACTCCATAAATTGAGTATCTTTGAGAGGAGTAGTATCTTCAAGTTCTAAGTCTTGAGTATTGAGTTCCTAATCCTTTTGAGATTATATTCCTAGTAGTGGGACTACTACATGTTACCCATGAAGGTCCTTGAGTTGAGTAGTTCATGCCCGTAATTCTGCATGAACCCTATTTTGAGAAGTCTTCTGCAAACCTTTTCAACACTTATCTTAAGACTTGAGCATATGACTTTGAGGAGGAGAAGAGCTGAGTTCATTTTCTTTAAAATGATATATGGGATCTAAGTATTCCCAAGAGTAAATGTTTTTACATTTAAGAAAAAAGGAAACACCGTTTTCCAAAAGAGTTTTCATGAGCAGTTCTGAGTACCATCTCTTTGAAGAGAAAGATTTTTGAGTAATAATCTTAAAACAGAGAAATAGTTATGTTTTTAAAAACATATGAGATAGTATATTTTAGGAGTAGTATTGAGCCCCAATATGGGGGAGAGTTCATACAACTCACAGCCCCTATAAACCATGTAGCCAACGTGGGTAGAAAGGGTCATACTTTTTAGATGATTCCTTATTGCTTTTTAGCATAGACTTGTGGATCCACTTAGTAGTTAGTTCTATACCCCGACAAAGTATATGATAGTTCTGGCAGCGTGGGCTAGATGTTGTATCATCACGTAGCTCATAGTGATGGTTGTCGGTTAGAGAATCTCCCACATAGTTATATTGTATTTTATATATACAAGACGAGTAATGTATTCTTCAATACATTGAGTTGTTATCTTCTATTTTAAAAGCTTTTCAAATATTACATCTTTTCTTGTTAATTTATCTTGAGTTGAGTATCCAGAGTTGAGTATCGTGCGTTAAGTATCTTATTATTGAGTTCAGCCCTATTTTGTATGAGTTGAGTATCTTATTATTGAGTTGAGCCATACTTTCTCTGAGTTGAGTTGAACTATGTTTCATTGAGTTGAGTTGAGTGAGTTGAGTTGAGTTAGTTGAGTTGAGTGAGTTGGGAAGAGGTTAGTATGTTTCTTTTCCATCAGTTCTAGCTTATGTTTATGGTTTAGAATTCCCCTTACATGCTCGTACATTCCATGTACTGAGCCATTTGGCCTGCATCAGTTCATGATGCAAATACATGCATTCAGTATCATCAACAGGCGTTGAGGTCGTGTGATATTCTAGTCAGCTTTGGTGAGCCTTCTTATATTTCGGAGGACTTCACCTTTAACTTACAGTTAGTAGTTTTGGAGATGTCGTGGGTCTTGTCCCGATATCCTTCTGTAATAGTAGAGGCTTCATAGATATACAAGGTTGAGTAGTTTTCAGTATGTATCTTCTTTGAGTTGTTTTTTATAAACTCTGATTTTATCTATTGAGTATTTTTTTTCAGATCATTGTAAAGATTGAGTAATTGAATTTATTTTAGTTTTAAGCTTTTGTATGCTTGAGTTAGTCTTCCTCTTGTCGCCAGCCAGGATAAGGGTTCGTTTGGGGTCAAACAATGGTTCCCGAGTGCTGGCCACGTCCAGGGTGTATGCTCAAGTCGTGGAAAACTTGGTATCAGAGCACAAAGTTTAAGTGTCCTAGGTTGTCTATGAAGCCGTGTCAAATAGGATTTTATTTATAGTTGTGAGGCCCCCAATTCTATAAATGAGGGACTACAGACATTTAGGAAAAGTTTCCCTTCTTTCATACTCTTAATCATGGAGTAGAGCTATATCATAGAGACTCATTCTAACTCGTGTGTTCTTATATCCATTTGACTACCCTTCATACTAGAGGTGGTTGAAAAGCAAAGTCAGTTCTTTATCGATGATTTGCCCTTAGAAAAATTTTGAGGAAGTTATGAGACTCTAGAGGGTCTTGAGAGAATCCCATGAGTGAGTTAAGTGTTGAGTTTCAAAGGAATGCTCTCATGTTCACATGAATCGTATGTTTAAGAAAAATGCGAGTTGTACTCTCTTCTCTTAGCCTTGTTTCAGCTGAGAACCTTATGAGGAGGTATGTTTAAAGCTTGGGTAGTATTTTCATCCTAAAAAGGTAGCATGAGTTTCGAAATTATAAGCAGTAGTAGTGAAAGTGCCCAGAGTTAGAAGAAAGTATACAGAGGTTCAGTAATCTATGAAAAGGAGATAATGATGGGGCAGATTATGTTATTGCAATCATGCACCCAATCAGTTATAAGTGATGAGTTCCTTTATGAGTAAAATAAGGAATAATAATGTTGTAGAGAGTTCTTGATAGAAGGAAGAGAAATAGTTACTAGTCATGATGAGATAGAGTATATTTTAACCAAAATAGAGTTGATATCAATGTGCCATCGTGTTAGAGGAGACTAAATATATGTGTTAAATAAGAGAACTGAGCGAGGCAAGCCGGGAAGGGGCTGAGACTTAGGATTCGAAGACCAAGTCAGAGACTACTAGACGTCTCGCAGAGCGACTCTCAACGAGGATGTTGAGACTGTTCGGAAAAAAAAGTTTTTTTGGCTTAATCCGCCTTTACTAAAGAAAAAAGAGTACACTTGTACTCCGAATATTCATGAAGTGATAGATCTAAGCTAGGCTTATTATTTGTTTGAGAGGGTCATGATGTTCCAAAGATTATAAAACCGATTAAGTAATGAGGTATAATAAGTGAGTAAATAGTACTTAAGTTGTGAGGATGTAGATCATTTTAGAGATATGGGATAGGTTTGTAGCTTCCAAGTGTCGGCTTTAGACCTAAGGGGGAGATGATAAGCTGAGAAAGCAAGTCCAGTGTTGAGAATATGATAGTAATGAGCTCAAAAGAGTATGGGAGATATCTTTTCAGAGGTCTTTTAGTAGTGGAGTGATGTTAGAAGAAGAAGGTTAATGTTCTTATCGTGATAATGATGGTGTGATAATTCCATCCAAGGTTATAAATAAGGAGGAAGAGGAGGAAGAGGAGGATGAGGCTTTACTATGAGAAATAGTTAAATAAGAGCCCTTAGTTGGTCTCGAGTAGTAATGCAGGAAATTCTAGTTGGTATGGCAGAGATGATAAAGGAATCAGAACTTCTTAAGAAGCTGGTTAGTAGTAGTCCATGGAGATGTTAGAGTACTAAGCTTGAATGTGTATTTTTAAACATGAGGTAGTTCTTTATATGAGCACAATGTTGATTAAATGTGGTGGTAAAGAGTAATATTATTGGGATGGGATTCTCTATAGAGAGGTATAGAACCTGAACCTTGGGATTTAGGTTAAGCTTGAATACAACAAGAGCGTGCCATTAGACTCAGACCTTGGCAAGAGAAGTCATGTACCCTTATGGGAGGTATGAGTTGCAGCCAATGAGGCATGGTATTCCTATTCTTACTTCATGCCTAGATTTCCTTTGTCCCAGATAAGGTAGCTTCAGACAGAGTGTGACTATGCTCACAATAGCATCGTTCTTGACTTAGGTGCTATATGAGGTCCTAACTCTTGGTATGAATTAGTCCACCCTGTGTTAGTAGGCAAGTTCATGAGTCAGAAGAGATAGTGAGAGTAACCCCGTTCCATTCCCATTCCAGCTGTCATTCGAGGACGAATGATCCCAAAGGGGAGATAATGTAACACTTCAAAAAATTATTGAGCTAAGACTTGAACCATTCTTCGTTGTAGATTTTACCGAGGAATTTAAAATTTTCTTGAGTTTTAAGGTCGCTAGGTGAAGCACCTTCATTTCCAAAAATAACTAAAGATAATTCCTTCAAGTCATTCCTAGGTTCTTTTAAGTTTTAGGTCAACTTCAAACAATCATAAATTTTAGCACATGATGAGTTACGAGACCCATAAGATATCAAAAGAAAGATCTTTGAGTCCTTTTTCCAACGCCACTGAGTTTGCTAATTTTTGAGCTTATATGAGGGAGATATGCTCGTTTGAAGTCAGGTTGTCCAATTAAGGAAAGTTACCCAAATAGATGAGGGGTATTTTGGTCTTTTCCTTACCCAATCAACTTAAAACGAACTTTAGTAATTTTTGGGGACAAATCTGATTGGGTCAGTTTTCATAAATCCAAATACGCTTGGGATTTTAGAAGAGGGTTCATTCAAGTCATTCCTAAGTTCTTTTAAGTTTTAGGTCAACTTCAAACAATCATAAATTTTAGCACATGATGAGTTAGGAGACCCATAAGATTTCAACTGAAATATCTCCGAGTCCTCTTTCCAACGCTACCGAGTTTGCTAGTTTTTGAGCTTTTATGAGGGAGATATGCCCTTTTTAAGTCAGACTGTCCATTTAAGGAAAGTTACCCAAAAATAGGAGGGGTATTTTAATATTTTCCTTACCCCCACTATTCTAAACATGAATTACACCCAATCAAGGGTCTAACTGGTTAGAATCAGTTTCATTCATCCCCAAAAGCATTTAGGGTTATAGAGAGAAGATTAGAGAGGAGAAAAAGTTCAAAGTTTCAAGCGTTCGTTCAAGAATTCAAGATTTCGCGAAGCATCTAGTTCTTTGAGGTATGTAAGCTTCCATAGTGTTGGGTTTGTTCACCCACACACCAATCATGAGTTTGTTTTGCAAATATATTCATAAATATTGAGCAAATTAAGTTCTTGATGAGTTCTTGATAAGTGTTCTTGAAGTTTCATTCTTAATCTTGTTTTGTTGAGGTTTTGAGGAATTCTTGAGATGAAAGTTGGTGAGTTTTACTATCGAACCTACATCCAATCATTAAGAAATCCTATATATCAAGCCATGATCCTTAAATTCATAATTAAAATTCAAGGAAGAGTTAAGAGTCACGTGTTGAGAGTTCTTTCGAGTCTTTTGAGAAAGTTCCTTTGATTCTTTTGAGGAGTCTTCTACAATTTCTAATAACTCGTTTCAAGACTCAAGTAAGCATGAGAGTGAGGAGAATGTATTCATGAGTCTACACTATCAACGAGATCCTTCATATCATGAGTCATAACTATTGAATTCATAATTCAAATTCAACAAAGAGTTAAGAGTAGAGTTCAAGAAAGTCTTCAAGTTCAATTGTGAATCCTTTGAGATCAATTATCAATTTGAGCTTAGTTTGAGGAAGTAAGTATGAGAATGAGAAGATTCGTATACATGAGTTCCATATTGTTATGTAGACCCTTGAGTCGAGTCGTTCATGCCCATAAATTCCGCATGAACTCCATAAATTGAGTATCTTTGAGAGGAGTAGTATCTTCAAGTTCTAAGTCTTGAGTATTGGGTTCCTAATTCTTTTGAGATTATACTCCTAGTCGTGGGACTACTACATGTTACCCATGAAGGCCATTGAGTTGAGTAGTTCATGTCCATAATTCTGCATGAACTCTATTTTGAGAAGTCTTTTGCAAACATTTTTAAAACTTGTTTTAAGACTTGAACATATGAGTTTGAGGAAGAATAGAGTTGAGTTCATTTTCTTTAAAATGATATATGGGAACTAAATATTCTCAAGATATGAATGCAGTTGTTAAAATTATACTTATAACGATCAACTTTTTATCCCGTCGTTAAAGGTTATTATTGTTAGCTCATTATTAATGAGGAAATAATATTTAATTGTTAAAAAGCACGATATCCGGTTGTTAAAAATTAATTGATCAATAAAACGTGCTCAAGTTTTCCTCTTTTTCTTTTTCTTAACCCACCCTTCCTCTTCCAAAACAAAACATTAGCAGTGCAAATCAAAGCGTTAGGGTTACAATTTGCATCAAATCTGATCGCAGACCTACCATGAAACTTCCTTCTCACAAAACTAAGTTCAATATAACAAAAACATCTCAAAACTGAAAAATAAAGACACCCTAACTGATTCACTTTTCTCGACTCTAAATACAGTTGCCCTAACTGCGTCTATCAGTAGCCCTAGCGCTCAAAAAATAAATCTGATTTTGGGGGAAACACTCAAACTCAATCCTTTTGAAGAAGAGGGGGCGGATTGAGTCAACCATATAATCGGTGTGGGTGTTATCAACCCACTTGAATCGATGTATAATTGAGCTTAAGATGCAACAAGATATCTAGAGCTTCAGGTAAGATTTTTTTTTGCAAACAACTAGCATAGTCGTTGATTTCTGTTCCATATATAAGGACTAATCTAAACTTCCTTCCTTGCATCGCTTGTAACAGCCACATTCTCTGAAATTTAACCCTTTCATATGTTCTTTAGAACATATTTATAGGGTTATGATCACAATTGTTTACTGACATTATTGATTTCAATTATCCAAACTTAAATTTTTAAAATTTTGGGTTTAAGAAACAAGAACTGTGGCAGAGTCGATTTCAATATGCAATCTGTATATCATCATCATCATCATCTATTCCATTGCTTCCAACTTGTGTTATTCTCCTTATGTTTTAAGAAAACAGTTTTTTTTCTTCTATTTTTTTTTCAAAAGATTAGAGTGTTACAAGAATAAATATATTGCCTGAAAATTCAACAGTGGTTGTGATGGTGAAAGCTTAACTCTTATTTGTATTTTGTTGGGTGCGGATAACTATTCAGTTTTAGGAATCTGCTTGATGTTGGAGCTTTTGTTTTACCGCAAATTATTAGTGGCAAATGAAATAAGACATCTTAAGATATTTTGAACTTTCTTTTTATCTTTTTTGTATATCATTGAAGTGAATGACTCAATTTTTCAGCATGTCCCTGCATTGTTGCACTATTGTTGATTGAATCTTGCCTCAAATTTGAATTTTTTATGACATCAAAGATCTCTTCCAAGTCATTAGAAGCAACCACTTCACCACTTAAAGTGAGGTAGCAACGTTAAGCGCGCTTCATTGTCTGCAAATGCGACAACAATGGAGAGATCACTCTTTAGCCAGAAGCTTGAAGCGAGTCGGCGGGAAGTTGCTTATGTTCTTCGTCAAACTCCATGTATTCTTCCTCCTTCTTCTCCTTGGTTGTTCTGCTGCTTCTTTTTCATTCTTCACAGTTTTCTCTGTTTCATGCTTTCATCACAGTTTTCTCTGTCTTTTTTTATCCTCTGTTTTAAAATTTATGTTATTTCTTCTTTTCACTATTTCAATGAATCAAGCACATAGGTTCTTGCTTCATACGTTAAGAAAAGTAAGACCTCGTTGCTATTTTAATTTGTGCTTTCATAAACATTGGTTATATAAAGCTATCTATTGAGTTTGTGGTAGCTGCTTGATGTTGGAGATTTGTTTTATTGAATTATGTGTTTCCAGTTCATATCTTGCTGAACAATTCATATGATAGTTTTTTCCAGTTCATATCTTGCTGAACAATTCATATGATTAGTTTTTCCAGTTCATATCTTGCTGAACAATTCATATGAATAGTTTTTTCCCAGTTCATATACTTGCTGAACAATTCATATGAATAGTTTTTTCCCAGTTCATATACTTGCTGAACAATTCATATGAATAGTTTTTTCCCAGTTCATATACTTGCTGAACAATTCATATGAATAGTTTTTTCCCAGTTCATATACTTGCTGAACAATTCATAATGATAGTTTTTTCCAGTTCATATCTTGCTGAACAATTCATATGATAGTTTTTCCAGTTCATATCTTGCTGAACAATTCATATGATAGTTTAATCCTTGTTTTTCTTAGATATCTCAAGAAAGTCTAGAATAGTGGTCTTAAGTGATCATTTTATGTTTTTGGACCAAGCATATAAAAAGAATATTGTATGTCGATTGATTTGTTCTTTCTTTTACTTGAACGTTCATGCCTCCTTATCATTTCTTTCGACTATTTTTTTCAATAGAAAATTTCTAAGTATTAGTTCATTGCTTGGAAAATATAGAACATTTAAATAGTTAATTACTTGAAAGTAACCTATTTTTAGACTTACTTAATTTTGGCCAGGTTTAGGTTCCAATGCGTGCCTTTGACTCAACTTACATTAAATATTAGTTTCAGTCATTTTAACCATTTTGTACTGTTGCATGCTTTATTGTTATGAATCAGGAATCAACAATTGAATGTTTCTCACAAGGAGTTTAATGTCTAATCTAGTTCACCCATGCTTGAAAAATACCATCTTTATTAAATTAAAGCTTTTCTACAAAGTCAGTACAATATCCTCTAAGAATGTCGTGATCTGGACTGGAAGACATGATGAATCTATCAGTAATTAGCTGAAAGCAATTTATTTGATATTTTCTGCCATAGAAACATGTAGTTGGATGATGGAGCTTGTCTAGTGCAAAAATTTAGGAAGGTTTCCCATTTCAAAGTTGTCCACAACGTGTGAAGTTGATATACATTTTCTTTATGGATACCTAAACATGATTTTTCCCTTCCTTTTTTTAAACCAAGGGCATTGGGTGTTGCCCATGACATTTTTATTGATTACTATTGAGTCTTCCATAAAAAGATAAATTAAATTCTAGATAATTTTAAAATAAAAATAATGTACTAGAGGGAAAAGACAGGTTTCTAAACATCCAGGATATTATAATGTTGTCCTTGCACAGAGATGATCTAATTCCAACAATCTGGTGCTGATTTTGTCGTTCTTCATGCCATTTCTGGCATATATCTTAGCTCCAAGTTACTCATCATTGTGCTGTTTCTTGTTCTCCTTTTTATTACCTCTATTTCACTGTCTTTCTTCTGCTAGACACGGTTGGATTTCACTGCTATGTATCCGACTTGAGCACTTTCAGGTGAAACCTTGTCCTTCAGTTGTGTTGATTCGCCGATCTGGTACTTTTTCTTACATTAACTTGAGATTCTCTGTAGATTTTTGTGATTTGGTCTGCTCTTGTTAAGAAGCTAGTATGACTATTGTTGTTCTTCGGGTGGATTGTTCTTATTTACTCTGTCTTTTCCTTCTTTGTTGGGTTGTTTTATGCTTTTTCCTTGTGTTCTTACTTGTTGATTTTTAATTGATACATGAGCGGATTTTCAGGGGTCAGTTTTATGTATACCTTTCTCTGCCTCATACCTTGTTCATTTGGTTCTTGAGCAATAGGATGTGTATCTAATACTACACAACGTTTAAGTCCCAAATGGATAGATATGCTGCAAGAGTTTAAGGTATTGTTTTGTGTTGGTGACCTATGTTTTCCACTCAATGTGTATTGAGTTTGATGTTTACTGTCGTTGCATCTGTATAGTGGTAGCTGAATTGTCTTCTTGCCAAGTGCTTATGTATCTCTTATGAACATGGTCTGTTGTTGTATTTCCTGCGTACAGTTGGTAAAAAAACCTTTCTATGTGAATTCTCACTATCCATTTTACTCCAATTGAACTAATCTTGTTCCAATATTCAATAATTTAAGATTCTCTAACATAACAATATTTTTTCCTTTTTTACTGACATACAAACCTTGAAACAGACTCTTAGTAAAATATGGACCCTATGTATGTGTGCCCGACTATATTTTCTTCTTTGATGTGTACTACTATCTGTTGTGGCGTTTATTTTGTATAATTCATTTTGTTGTCTCTTTTTTTTACAATCCTGCATAGGATACATCCCTTTTAAGCTGAGGGTCTAACGAAAACAACCTCTCTACAATCTTAGGTATATTGTTTTTGTTGTTTGTTGTTTGTTGGTAAAATATATTCCCCTATTTATTGCATGCTTACAAATGTGTTTATCGGCATATGACCCTCCCAAAAATAGTTTGAGGGAGGTTAAGATTATATTGTCCTATGTTGCGCGGACTCTTCATATTTGCAGGCGAACCCGTCTCGACGCGACACTGGTGCGGGCGCGGGTGCGGGGTGCGTGTCGGATTCGGTCAATCCGATCCGGACACTTTGACCGAAGCCGAGAAAAGATTTGGGGAAGAAAAAATCAGTTTCCGGCTCCGGCTCCGGCGACGCAACGTAAAGAAGACAAAGTTGAAAAAGTAAAGAGAAGAGAAGAAAGAAGAGTTTTTTCTTCAAAAAATAAAGGAAATACAAAGTCTTTTTTTTAATCTTTCTTATATGTACACAATACATTTACCTTTGAAAAAAAGAAAGATCAAAAAGTCTTCAAAAAAAGTAGTGTCAGAAAAAGAAACATCCCATCAGCCATCAACTCCAAAAATCTTTTCATTCTCAGACGTTAGAAAAAGTTTTTTCAGTTAGAAAAATTTTATATATATATATATATAGTTTCACACACAATATCATATCTAGATCAAGGATCATGTCTCGCTAGATCACTTAATTCTTCCTATCAATACAAGCGCCTTAAGGATCCCGTCTTACTAGATCTTTTGATTCTTTCAATCAATACAAGCTTCGAACTATCGAAATACTAGAAATATATATAGATATATATAGTTTCACGCACAATATCATATCCAGATCAAGGATCATGTCTCGCTAGATCACTTAATTCTTCCTATCAATACAAGCGCATCAAGGATCCCGTCTTACTAAATCTTTTGATTCTTTCAATCAATACAAACTTCGAACTATCAAAATACTAGAAAAAAAGACGATATATATATAGTTTCACGCACAATATCATATCCAGATCAAGGATCATGTCTCGCTAGATCACTTAATTCTTCCTATCAATACAAGCGCTTTAAGGATCC